AACCCTTGATTAATGTCTTCATATGATGTTTAATTGGTGTACGTGAGTCTCTTTCAATGTATGTATCTCTGAGTTCATGTTGTTTCAGGGAAGACTACTACTATTAATAATGATGATGATGATGATGTAATAAGGACGACGACAATAATAATAATAAAACCTAGTCTATTATCTTTTACATATATAGAAGGAGAATGTTGTGAATAGTAAATTTATGAAATTAAATTAAATAAATAGAAAATTTTAAAATTATTTAAAGTAAAAAAATAATTTACTGTGTAAATCTTTCATTTATAATAATTAATGAAAAAAAAAATTTCACGTAAATTTTCTTTTTATAAATGGTAAAAAGCATTCTTTTTACATAAATAAAGATCTTTTACTATTATTTTTTATCAGTCGTGATGGAAATATTTACACGGTAAACTACTATTTACTTCAAATAGTTTTAAAATCTGCAATTTATTTAATTTAGTTTCATAAATATGTTAATTTACTACAATTTCTCTTACAATAATTTCCCAGTGGAAGTGTTAGTGCGCGTTAGTCTAACGGGGACCAGCTTTTGTTTAATTTTTAAACAATAATTTGAACATGTTTCTACAATAAAAGAAAAGAAAATCACATATTGCTGGAATGTTTATCACTCCTAGCACTTTATATAAAATACTAGCTAGATGTTGATTTAGTGGCTCGCCTATATAAAACTTATAGTGTATATGTGAATGGATTAAGCATTAAGAGATAACTCATTACAAATTGAATAGCGCAACCACTGAAGCATTATTAATTGCTTGCTTCAATTTTAATATATAGTACGCAACAAGCATAGATCAGTCTACGAGAAGTGCCGATTAAAGATCATCACGAGTATAAAGTAAGATGAAAAAATACTGGACTCAGTTACAAGGATGCTCATATTAATTTGCACAAAAGATTAAACTCAGCTTTAGCTAACTATGGTATCTTGTAAATGCAGGTTTACAGTAGTTGTGGTTGGCTGAGCGGAATCCTGGACTCGCTCATCACGTGCTGGACAAAGTTGATCTAGACTTTCTTTTCTCAACTTAATATATATTTAACATCTAGTTTTTTATTAATGTTGAGTTATATATATATGGATGGAGTTTTAAATTAGGGCAAGGTCTCATTAGTTACGTTTTCATCGATGGTTACTACTAAATATAAAAATTTGATGACATAAATTCAATCTCATTAATTGTCATAAATTTTTTTAATCAACTATCTAATTTATTACAACTGTTAAATCAATATTTTACAGTTAAAAAGAATAATACCAATTGACAAATAACTATTGTTGGGTAAATTTGCCTAAAACCAAGCAAATAACAAAGAACAAAAAACAACAAACGAAAAATAAAAGCAAAATTCACACAGAATTTTATACAAGTCGTTATGTTCTGTTTCTGTTGCCATAGATTCCACTAGTCAGTTGAAGAAATTCTTTATAGAGAAAAACACTCAATCTCACTTTGTGTTTCTCTCACATTCAAAAGATGTTTCCTAAGTCCCCATAACATTAAGTATTTATAGAGTACAAGAAAAGCCCAAAAAAGCCCTCAAAAAACCATCAAAACCGCCTCTGATTTGACCTGGCCGATCCCCGGCGCCGTGACACTACCTTCTCGGCGCCCACTGAAAGTACCTGCACGAACCTTGATGGCACTGTGGCGCCATCCTTGATGTCGCGGCGTTGCGATGCCAATTTTTACATGGCTTTGAGCATTGGCACCATGGCACCATGTCTGTAGCCTTCTGGTGCCACAGCGCCCACTTTGGTAGTCTTGTGCTGAGCATTGGTGCCATAGCACCATGTATGTAGCCTTCTGGTGCCACGACACCCACTGACTGGGGCCGCATCACTAGTCTGATTTCTTCTTCTTCTTTTTTTCCTTACTTCTAAACGTGATTAGGCTATACAATCTTCAACAACTATTAAAGTAACAATTAAAACTACACTGTTTAAATTATTCTGTTCAAAAATTGAGGATAAATTATTATCGTGTGTAGACTACTATGTTGGAACTGTGGGACGAATTATTATCAGAGTTATGGACCATCCTTTTTCTGACGTTAATGCGTTTGGAATAATCTCGTATTTTGAGTTGTCGGCCATCTTTTTATGATGCTAATAATTTGAAAAAAATCGTTAGTTATTTAGCGCTTGCGTTTGCACCCGGGGTCCAAGGTTCGAATCCCGGAAACGACATCTCCTTCAAGGGGTAAGGCCGCGTACATATGAGATTGAGCTTTCTCCCGAGCTTGTCATAGTACGGGAACTTCTTTGGCACTGGGGGTCCACCTTTTTAGATAGATTGTATAAATCTCCTATTGGAAAGTACACCTTGTTTTCTCAAAAGTTTGAAAAGAAAAATCTTCTGATAACAAATTGTCTTACGTAATATATTATAAAATCTAAAGAAAATCACTTATTGCCGGTATACTTATCACTTCTAGCACTTTATATAAAATACTAGCTATATGTTGATTTAGTGGCTCCCCCATATGTAGCTACTAGTATATATGTGAGAATGTATTAAGCATTAAGGGATCACTCATTACAAATTGAATAGGGCGACCATTGAAGCATTATAAATTGCTTGCTTTAATTTAATATATAGCACACAACAAGAATTACTTATAAACACTTCCCAAGTATAGATCAATCTACTGGAATTGCCAATTAAAGATCCTCATGAGGTTACTATGGCTCATCTTAGGCTTAGCCTTTTGCTTCCTTCTTCTTTCCAGTCCATATCTTATGATCTGGTACGTACTAGTTTTCACATCGCAAGTTAATTAACCTGGAAATAGATCATCATCTAATTAATCTAGTTTACAACAATTAATTATTCTTTCTACCCTTTTTTTTTCTCTGTCCCACTCCATGACAGGGCGAAGAATATTGATCATCATGGTGACTCTTCTTCCGTTGATCATCATATATAAATGAATTCTGATTAAAATATTAATCTTATTTGGTAATTGCAACTTTTATTGAAAAGTCACGAATTAGAAGGGAATGAATACAAACGCGCACGCGCTTCTCTTTTTTACAAGCACGCACGCGCATATCTTAAAAAAAAAAATTAAAAATTAAAAAAAAAATGTCAACTGATCAAGCTCTCTCTTGTTTTATCAAATTTTTACTAAATAAATCTCAGCCACTAATTTAATAAAACATTCAATCTTAGCCATTCATTTGTTTTGCTATTCAAACCCGAACACGAGGATCCTAACATTTTGAGAACCTCCCCCTGGACGCCGACCAGCTAACAGTGGAGATCCACCGCGCTTCACCCTCGCCACCGGCAGCTCCACCCCCTCCTCGAGTCGCCGTCATCAGAACTCAACCCTGCGGACTCAACTCCGACGGGCCTCGTTCTCCTGTGCGGCGTTAGCTGAGCCATTCGCGTCACTGCAGTCGACGTTTCTTAATCCGTCCAATGTCTTGTGACTGTCTTATGCACGAACCGATAACTAAAGTTCAAAAATGAGTGAATTACCGAAAAACAAAAAATTTGAAAAAACAGTGGGGACCAGCCTATCTGCCTATTCCAATTCTTATACGTATACTTGTGCAGACATGTTGAAGAGGTTCAAAATTTTATGTCTGTCAAATGGATCATATCGATCGTGTTTTTATCATCGTTTTACACGTTTTTTTTTTTTTAATAATTTGTACACTTTAAAATTTTCAGTTTTTTTTTTTTTTTTTTTGCTAACGTGTGGGGGAGATCTGTTTTCTTTTTTAATTTGCTAAATAATATATGTGGCAGAGATTTTGTAAAAGTCGTTACGCTAGCTATTTGGGGATTTTATCGAGACGTTTAGTTTATGAGTTTAAAATTATGATTCATAATTTTAATTTTTAAAATTTAAATTTTTTATGAAAAAAAATATTGTAGAGAATCAAGAACTATGATTCAGAATCAGGATGAACCCTTAAAATAAACATCTCATACATGATTTTGAAACTGATCAACTTACAAGGGTTATTTTAGTTATTAAGATCTCGTTTGTTTCATCGATTCGAGATTTTAATTTTAATTTTATTACAGTTAAAAATTCTCATAAAAATTCACATTTAACGTTTTCTTCTATAATTAAAAGCTCTCAGATAAAATCACATCTTAACTTAAAGTAAAAACTCGAATCGGCGAATTAAACGATGTCTTAAATTTGCTAAAAAATTCAATTGGAATTTTTTATGGTTTTGAGTGTGACTCGACTTAATTATGTGGTGAATCTCTTTTGATCTAAAAAGGCATTGAGGTTCCTTGGTGATTCAAGTCTCGTTGGATTCGTGCGATTTTCTTTTTTAAATTCTATTTCTTTCCGAGCTTTGCATATTTTTTGAGGGGGCAATCACGTGCCTGATAAACTGATTTCTTTGGGAGTTTCTTCTCAAGTAACTTCCTAATAGTTTACTATTCTCAATTTCTGTAAGGTAAATGTGAGCAGGGATATAAAAAGTCTTTCAAATTATAAATTTCATTTGTAGCTCAGAGTAAATATGTGCTCCTTTTTCTTTTGAATCTTTTTCATGTTGGGTTTTGATTAAAAAGTTTTTAACGACGCATATTTTTTACTTCCTTTTTTTTGTCTTGCAAAGTCTTAGAGAATACATATATATATATATATATATATATATAAATTAGAAACCTATATATATTAACGTACGTACGTACTTACACATTTTGAAAAAAAAAAAAAAAAGGGGAAACCAATGGAAGGGCCCTTCACACAACAAAACAGTACTAACAAGGAATATAACTATTTACGACCAACTGTCACATGTTTCCTTGTCACACTCATCCATTTTGCTAGCCAAATTACCCCTTTTGGTCATCTTTTTCTTCCAGTTTATGTTGATCATGAAATATCTTTTTCAAAAGACCAAGAGATCATCAGCGGTACGAGCTCCTCTTCCCCCGGGGCCATCTCCAATGTGGCCAATTCTCGGGTGTGTCCCGCACATGTTGAGAAATCGACCGGCATACTGGTGGATTCATCGTCTCATGAAAGAGCTCAACACTGATATTGCTTGTTTCCGTCTTGTTCGAAATTCCCACGTGATTGCGGTGACTTCACCGGAAATTGCCAGGGAATTTTTAAAGAAACATGACGCGGTGTTTGCATTGAGACCCGATACAATGGCGACTTGCATTGTCAGTAAAGGATACCTCACAACGGCCTTGTGTCCAGGGGGAGAGCAGTGGAAGAAAATGAGAAGAATCTTGGCCTCTCAGGTCCTGAGCCTGTCCACAATGCGCTGGCTACTTGACATGAGAAACCAAGAATCTGATAATCTTGTTCGCTACCTTTATAATCAATGCTCTAAGAATTTGAAAGGTGAAAAGTTATTATATTAATATAATTACCATATTGCCAAGCATGCATGTGATCATTCTTATTTGTGTCCAAGTCTTTTTTTTCTTTTCTTACC